TTCTTGTTTTCTATTTTCTATGATGTTTTTGTAAGGGCTGGTGTTCTAAATTGTCTTATTTGTTCTTTTATGGGCAAAATCTCAATAGTGACAAAGAGTGTGGCAATGATTAAATTATAATTTTCAAATTGAACAAATTGTTTTTGTAATTAAGTCATTCCAAAAGAAGTACTTGTGTAGTTGTATTTTCTGTTAGAATGAGGTTATTTAACTCTTTTACTCAATCATTGGCAGGTGAATCATAGACATATATCGTATAAAGTTCATACTTATAGTTGTTATTTTTGTGTTTTGTGGCATTGTGTCAATGCAATAAATTTACAACAACCATTGTCAGCGCATGGCGCTGTAGTGTGAAGTGCATTATTTTTTTGTTGTTTTTAAGACCCTAATGCATCATGGACTGTGTTATTACTTTGGGTTGCTCGTAGTTTATATGAGGTGAAGGGATTCATTGTTTTCATAGCATTTTCCTTATATTTTATATAAACAATCATGTGGTATGTGCTCATAGCAAAATAGCAAAAAAAAATTATCATTATTATTTACTAATATAAAAAATCTTATTATTTAACTAGATAATTTGGAAAGAGTTATAGTTGAGAAACTATTCCATAGTTCAATACTCTATCTGTCTTAAAGTATTTGTTGAGTTTGACTTTTTTAAGTCAAATTAGATTAACATTAATTATCAATTACATTAGATTTGTTTTACATATTAAACCAATGAAATAAATTTCTAAAAGTATTTCACAAGTTAAATCTAATGAAATTATTTTGTACTAATTCACATTACAATTTTATTTAATTTATGATCAAAGTTTGTCCAATTTGACTAAACAAGGCAAACTAGACGAATACAATGAGACAGAGGTAGTAGTAATTGGCTTTTAGATATATGTTTATCGTATTAGCTTTGGAATTCACTAAGGGTCTATTGGAAACAACCTCTCCACCCCTCATGGGTAAAGGTAGTTACGAGTAGTTTTTTTACATCCTACCCTTCCAAGACTTCACTTGTGGGATTATACTAGGTTTGTTTAAAGTAATGTTGTGCGGAGTATTAGATTTGGTGTTAGGTGATTCTCTATTAGATTTAGGAATCATATAAGTTTTGGATTCAGCTTGTACCCTAGTTTATATAAGGAATTAAGGATGGTCTTATGAATATACAAACTAGAATTTTATAAATGAGAACTTCGGGACCTTTTAATCTTAGTAAACACAACCCTATCCAAGGTGGTGGATCTTTTCCACTAGAATCAACAAGTAATTTCAAAGAACATTAGTTTATGAACTAACATATCAAGGGCAAAAGGGGGAGGAGGGGGTAAGGGTGCAGTTTCTTGACCAATGACACATTTCATTTTTATGATATACCCATTTGCTAAAGTTTTGATAGTTATATCCACTTCGTGTTTCATGTTTTAATATATGCTTCCTTAAATGTTAAAAAAGTCCATTTCTATTTGGAATGCGTATTATGTTTTTTTATTGGAACCTGTTCTTAAAATATGGTTATCACTTTTACAAAACAAGCTCTAAATTTGGTATTGTTTTTCTTAGGCAATCACTTGGTGTTGATTTGGTTGAGTTAGACAAGTCCAACCTTCCGGAGAAGACCGATGAAGAGATTTTTCAGCTACAAAAGTGATCATTGTCACAAAACCCCACCTAACCCCAAACACCAAAAGGTTGATATTTCTAAATCTCCTGAATATTTTGAAGCAAACTTCGAAGGTGAGCGAAGAAAACTTCGGTCTTGGTCCAATAAAGTCAATAGTGTACCTAACCATATTGACCAAAAGGATGATGATACCTCTAAATCTCCTGAATCTTTTCAAGCCAACTTTGAAGGAAAGCAAAGGAAACTTCGGTCTTGTTCCAATAAAGTCAATAGCGTACCCAACGATATTGACCAAAATGCTGATGCTACCAGTAAATCTCCTGAATCTTCTAAAGCCGACTTCGAAGGCGAGCAAAGGAAACTACGTTCTTGCCCCAATAAAGTCAATAGTGTACCAAACCATATTGACCAAAAGGCTGAAGATACCTCTAAATCTGCTGAACCTTTTAAAGCCAACTTTGAAGGCAAGCAAAGGAAACTTCGGTCTTGGTCCAATAAAGTCAACACTGTTCCCACAGATGAGCACTCCTCATATGATTGTCGTAAGCAAGTTTTGGACGTTCTACAAAATTTCAAAGACATGTATAAAAAACTTTTGGATGAATCCAAAGCAGATCCAAATGGAGGCATATATGCAAAAAGAGGTGTGCCCATGAGAGTTGCATCTCTCCTTAAGAAACAACAAAAATGGATACAAGACAAACCAACCTTTGGAAGTATCCCCGGAGTTGATATTGGCGATACTTTTCAATTTAGGGCAGAACTTATAATTGTGGGACTCCATTTACAATATCTAGCTTGCATAGATTATATAGATTTGAATGGAGAATTCCATGCGACAAGCATTGTGGATTCGGGTCATTCCGAATTTAGCAAGATTAGATCCCTTGACACACTTATTTATGTTTGTCGCGGTTCACATTCTTCTATGAAAAAGGTAGAAGACCAAAAGCTCGAGAAGGATCAACATGCCTTAAAGAACTCCAAGGATGCAAAGCTTCCTATAAGAGTCACATGTCTTCAAAAAACTCTTGGCATGGATGGCCAAGGATACACTTATGTAGGGTTGTACATTGTGAACAACTATAAGCAAGAAAGAAACCAAAGGGGAAAATTAGAGTTCAAGTTTGAACTGTGTAGACTTCCTGGGCAGCAAAACCTTGCTCTCCCGGTGGCTTGGGACTGGGAAGTAGTAGAGCCGACTCAAGGAGACCGTGACACTCACAATGTAGTTGTGGTAGACGATGTATCACAAGGAAAGGAGAAATTTCCCATTCCGGCAATGAACAGTATTGATGCTGAAAAACCTCCTCCTTTTACTTACATAACTAAAATGATAAAACCTTCTTGGTTCAAAAGCTCCTTGCCCAAGGGCTGCAATTGCAAAAATGGATGCTCAAATTCGAAGCAATGTTTTTGCACACGTAGAAATGGTGGTGAGGTTCCATACAACAATGTAGGCGCTATACTTAGAGCTAAGCCGATTGTTTACGAATGTGGTCCATCTTGCAAATGCCCTCCTTCATGCAAGAATAGGGTTAGCCAAAACGGTCTATGATATCATTTTGAGGTTTTCAAAACCAAGTCTAGAGGATGGGGTGTTCGCTCACGTGATCATATTTCTTCAGGGAGTTTTATATGTGAATACATTGGAGAACTTCTAGATGAAAAGCAAGCTGAAAAAAGAATCGACCGTGATGAATATCTCTTTGATATAGGTAACTACGATGTAGGGGAGGACATTGATATAGACGAAATTCAAAGAAATGATAGCGAGGGCTTCACGATTGATGCGGCACTGTTTGGGAATGTGGGGAGATTCTTCAACCATAGTTGTTCTCCTAACCTTTATGCACAAAATATTTTGTTTGATCATGATGACAAGAGAGTCCCTCATTTAGTGCTATTTGCCCAAGAGGATATACCTCCTTTTGAAGAGCTAACTTACGACTATAATTACAAGATAGATCAAGTTCGTGATTCCAATGGAAACCTGAAGAAGAAAGACTGCTACTGTGGTGTTCGCGAGTGCACTAGAAGAATGTATTAGAAGGAGATTTCTTTCTCTAAGTTCATGCAGTCATTCTCAATTGGATGCTCAGGCTACAAAGTGGAACATTGTTCTGTTTTTGGCCTCATTTTCGTTCTTTCTTTCTTTGACCTATTGTTTGGCTTAAATTCCAGATTTCATCTCAATAATTTATATGGGCTTCGTTGTTTACGAACTTTCTGTTTATTATGATTTGGAATCAGCCTCTCTATTTTCGAGTAGGGGTAAGGTATGCGTACACACACCCTCTCGTGGGATTCTTATAGATTGTTGTTGTATGTGTCTTTAGATTGTTTGTTTCCTTGCTTTGTCAATTTGTGATTTTGATTCTCATTTCCGGTTATTCACCACTGTTAGAAACTCTAGTTTTTGTGCAAGTTCTTAATCTTTTAAACACAGAATTAGTGAACTAAACACCAAGGCAAGTTCTTGATCTTTTAAACAGAACTAGTGAACTAAACACTAGGGGAAAAGGTTTGTACCTAAATGAGAATAGGCATCAAACTTGTAACACAAACTATACACGATCAATCTCAATGATCTGTCCTGTGGTTCAACTTGTGAACCGCACCATGGCTGAGTCAATGAATGGTCCTAGTTTTAAAACATTGGCTCTAGAGAATTAATTTCCTAAACTTTTCTGCATAAATAGTGGGATATATTTTAATATACATGTGCATTGGTATACTCCCTAGATATATTGTTCCAATAAGCCATTAAGTTTGTATCTAAATGCAAGTAACTTGCTACATTACATAAGATGAAATTGAAAATTTAAAATAAGTCTCATCACAGTAATTTATTTGTTGATTTCATCATTACATTATGAATTTATATTTTTGTATCTACAGGGGGTAGTCCCAGATGTTTGTTTCCTTTTCCATTTGCATATGTATATCTTTATTCTGATCTCTTTTTAAGAGGCCATGTGTTGGTGAAGCAGATATGGAGTTTAGACCCTAAGATGTACTTGATATTTATATCATGGTAGAAATGCAATAGTAATAATAATAAAGTAATGATAAATCAATAATGGTTTGTTTTGGATTGAGGGAAATTAGGTGAAGAGGGTTGTAATGGAGGGGGTTCACTCATCTTTTCTGTTATTAACTAGAGATTAAGTCCTCCATAGTTACAGCAGAGGGTTACAGACATTTTTTACATAAGAATACCACAGTATTTGCTAGGCAGTTTTCAATGAAATCTTCAGAAGTCACGTATTTCAATTGAGAGGATATATTAAAGCATAGTGTTCTTGTTTTACCATTTTAATGTTATTGTTTTGTGTAATGCCTATAGAAATTTTTTAGAGAACAAGTGCTGTTTTAGGTTTTTATGGCTTCATCACTGGAATACGAACCAGATGTGTGACAATTTAGTCATTGAGATTTTGAGTAGCTTCTTGTGGAAGGTTTGGATTACTGGAATACGAAGTTTCACTAAAGTTTCAAATAAACTTTTAATTCAACTTAGATTATACTTGCACATTTGCTATATATAAGTGTGTTGTTGCCTTGTTGGTAGCTGGTACATATTTTGTAAACCAATTTATTCCATTGGAATGCTGCTTAGAAATGTATATGAACATTAGCATAACGTGCAGTCGTGCACTAGACGAATAAATATTACAAATATTTCACTTTAGACACTTTCATCTGCACCTAGTGCTCACGTGCATTTGAAAAGAGGATTCTAAAAGAGCTATTGTTTAGTTGTCACTACGCATATCTTCCTATAAAAGGACATGATTTACCATGTTCGGATCACCCGAATACTAATTGTGCTCACGGTGAAACAATAGTGATGCCAGCAGTTCGTTTGAAAGCTTGTTGATCTATTGTAACACTGTTAAACTGCTGGACTGCAGGAATCTTTCTAATTGCAGTTCACAACTGCCTTTGTAAAGCACATCTTTCCAACTGATCTAAGAACACTTTCTGGTAAGATTCATACGTTATACGTTCTTACATATCGTTTCCAGCTGTCCTACAAGTTCTGCCCAATTCCATACATAAATCCTAATATGTTCTTATGGTAACAGAAAACTTCAATTTATGTGTGTACATCATATTTTTTGGCTCACCACATTCCAGGAATTTAGGTTGGCCGTAAAAAGAATCACCAAAATAAAAGTAGTAACTAATGGTGCTTAGTGCTTACATGTTACCATCACAAAACAAACACAACACGGTTTCTTTAGCCTGTGATCAGACCCATATTTTGATATTCCTTTCTTATCTTGGGTCTGGCTTAATTTTAATCTTTCTGAATCTGACCCTGAATACAGAATTTTGGGTATTATCCATTAAAAAATGGGTTGGAGTTTCACCTAAATGAGGCCCAACCCTTACCCTTAATCTTAATCTTTCTGAAGGTGACCCTGAATACAAATTTTTGGGTATTACCCATTAAAAAATCAAGTCGGAGTTTCACCCAAATGATTCCCGCCCCTAACTATATTAGTCTTCCAGTTATAGGAACGAGATGTGTGATGGATTTGGCTTTCCTGCCATGATTGTTTTAGTATAGCTTTTGTTTGTTGGAAAAAAACACTATTTTTGGTCATCTACTTGTAGGATTGCGATGTGTGATGGATTTGTCTTTTATACCACGATTCTATGAGCTGTTTGGTAACCTGTCCTTGTTCATCCCTCTTTTTGTTATCTTCTCTTTTTCTATAACAAATCACATCTCCATACCGGAAGAGTTAACTTAAAATCCATGATGTTACATGTACGTGGTATGTGGCCAGCAGGCCAACTACATGACTAGTTTTTTGTTGGATTATATATTTAGAATGGAATAACATAATTTCAAAGCCCAATAATACATTGGCCTGAAGGGCCCAACCCATCCAGCATTGTCAGTCAACTGTGCAAGGAGAGTCACCAAGTCGACCAGGCAAGAGAATGCAAATGAGTATGATGCACAGAATGATACAAACAACAGGGGGATGTCCTCGCCTCACTAGATTCTCTTTTCACGCCCCTAAGATGGTATGTATGAGCACACTATGTTTTTATGACATGTTTTAAAGTTGTTTCAAGTTTTTTTTCTCATTTGCAGTATTTTAATTGCTCTTTTCCAATGCTTAGTTTAATTGGGAGTCTTAAAAGTTCTAAACTTTGCTAATTCCCTGGATCTTTGGACTTAATCATGTGGATGATTAAGTGCAAGAAATTTGAAATTCAGCTTTGTTAGACCCGAGATACCTTATTATGTCTTTTTTTTACTATTTGGAGAAAAGAGATTTTTATCATATTTGCTAGCAAGAACTGTGCAATTTATAATTCAAAAAAAGAAAGAGTGAAAGGAAAGATAATTCTTGCTCGTGGGATTGCTGGTTGCTGTGTTTGTATGGAATCACATTTACTCGTCAGCTTAACTCTAAGTTTAGTATGAATTTATCACTAGTAAAATTTTACCAGTTTGAAATATGTGGCCTGTGTTGTCAGTTCCTCCTATTTAATGAATCAAAACACTCCATCTGTCCTATCTTAATTGGTAACATATTTCTTAAGAACATTTTTGATACTTTGATGAATTTGGTGATTTAATTATATAGGACAACAACGACCTAGTATGATCCCAACTAGGTTGGGGTCTGGGAGGTCAAGATAAACAGTGTTACCCCTGTAAAAATAGAGAGGCTGTTTCCGTTAGACCCTAGATGCATTGTTACGTTTACTACCCAAAACTTCATAGAAAGTACTGTAAAAATCAACGAAAGTTTAGTGTGTCATTTGGATTTAGTTCATTATGTGCCCGAAGCTAAAACATTGTCAATAATGACACTTTTAACTTCATTGTCAATGGATGGAGATGTGTATTTTATAGTACCTTCCATAATTCTTTTGGAACTATAGTAGTATATGTTTTACGTACTAATGCTGAATGATCGAAACTTAGATTATGAATATCTTGTCTTGCATCAGTACATGAGTAGGCCATCCATTTTTTGTTCTAGAGACTAGGAACAACTGTTTACACCAATAATATGCTAATGTTTTTTTTCCTTGAATTAAAGCCCATTTATTTATTTATACATTGATATTGACTTGAATCCTTAAATCCCAGGTAGAGGTGGAATTCGACAATGGCAGTCTGTACCATTTGTCAGCCGAATATCTGAGAATATATAGCCCTGCTGCTGATAGTAAGATCCGTTCAGTTGGCGGTGAAAAGGTAATACTCCAAATAAAGAGGCTGCACAACTTTTATTTCACACTCCATTAATGTTTACACTTACAAAGGTTGTCCAGAAACCAGAGTGGATGAAGAATGTTACATACACACACTAAGGTTGTTTTTGTTGTCGTTGTTGCTGAACCATGATGGTGTTGGTGAGGTTCAGGTGATATCGGGAAGGCGTTACGTTGGGATGATGTCAGCAGAAGCAGTAGGGAACTACGGTGTGAGGTTGGTCTTCGACGACATGCACAAGACGGGTATCTTTACATGGGATTACTTGTACCATCTTGGATGCAACAAGTTCCCCCTCATGAGAAATTACATCAATACCCTCAAGAGGCATGGACTGACTCGGGATCCTCCCCCTCCAAGAAGAAAGTGACAATAAGTAAGATCCCATACATTTGGCTCTCATATACATCATAAGTTTCCCAGTCCTTTTCTAAGGCAATCATAAGACCAATGTTAACAGAATCCCTACTTTTGGGTACGGATAAGATCTGCGTACACACACTGTCTTCAGACCTTACTTTTTTTTTGGAATTTTATTATTTTATCAGGTTTGTTGTAATAGGACTAATAAAGAAATTAAAATGACCAATAGTTATTTTTTCCCCATGGCATCTTCCATATTGATCTTGTTCAACTAGAAAATGTGGGGCATAAAGTTTAAAAAAATCAACTTTACATAATATGGAGCACTATTATTAAATAAAAATGAGAAATGTTTGGTTCACAAACACAATGCTCACAAACTTACTATTTGTGAATTTCAATATAAAAAATTAAGTAGTCTAAAATAATTTTAAAATGAGAATTGAAATTATAAATAGTAACTTTGTGAAGTTTGTGATCATTCTGTTTGTGAACCTAGCATTGCTAAATAAAAAAGTTGAGTAGAATAAGGGCTCGGTTCTTTATGTCTTGATTTTAACTGAAGTCTTTATAGTGGATATGGTTTTTTAGTGCTATTAAGTCTATTACAATATAATATTTGTTCATACTTTTCTCAATTTAATGATGAACAAAGAGCTAATGCATCTACCTCCAATGAGACTCAACTTGGGTGAATTTCCTCATTTATCCTGAGGAAGTGAAGAGTGAGTTTTCTACCACTCAAGCTAGGAGAGAAGTTCACACTGGATATAGTTTTAATTTTAAAATTTTAACAAAATTGTTGAGTTTAAGGTCTGGTAATTGGAACCTGGACACCTAAAAATAAAAATAAAAAATAAAAATATAGTCGTTTGGGGCAGTGTTTTGGGAATTGGGGTGTTCACTCCAACCAATAATCGCACAATTTAAGGTGAATATTAGTAGTGTTTATCATGCTCAAATAGGGATTACCCAGTAGTTTTTTTAAAAAAATTATCTCAAAGATATAAATTTACTTTTTTACATAAACTTGTTTTTTCCATAACACAAACTCATGTCTTTTTTAAAAAAGTTACCTTAAATTTTTGGGGAAAATTGTGATCATTATTTTTTTTTCTCCTCGTCATTTTTTAATGTTTTTGGTTTTGAATAAAATAATTGCAACTAATTTCTATTTTCATACAATAATTGTTATTCATTATATGCGACTTTCTCAAGAAAATAGTTAAAATTCTTTTTCAGACTTTCTCAAAACTCCCGTTGCATGCCCTTAGCGACTCAATGCAGCTTTGGTCACAAAATTTTTGTCAAAAACCAAGCATTCTTACAGGTCGTTCAAAAAAAACCGTGTCGAATTAATTTCTTTTTGAACTGTCTAATTTTTTTTTATTTTGTTTTTTGGCAAAAAACTTTTAATGAATGTGTTAAGGATAACATATAGAAAATCTCTATAATCAGTATTTTTTTAATTTTTTTTTTGACAAGTCACGGGAAACAATTTTTTGGACATTACCATTTACTCCTTGAAAAAACCAATTAGTTCGGAAATGGAGATCCAAAAGGGGTCTGTTTTGAAGGCCGGAGGAATCTTCTCCAAAAAGATTCCTTTTTTTTCTTTTTAGAATTTTAAATTCTCATCGTTATGTATCAGATCACACTGGGTTTTTAGATACTGAAAACGGAAACGGAGCCGGCGGCAGCCATGGCAGTCGAAAAGCTTAAAGATTTGGCGCAATCAACTCAAGACTTCTTCGCTTCCCACATTCTTAACTGGAGCCCGACTTCCGACCGCCGCCGCAGCCCGGTAATTATCCTTATTCATATTCTCTTTGAATTTCAATTTCTATCTTCCGAGTTTGTTCTTTTAATGCCTGAAAAAAAACGTTTTGCGATTTTAGGGTTAGGGTTTGTTTTGAATTTGCGCTTCTGGAAGCTGGGTTTATGTAGAGAAGAGGGGCAAGTAATACCTGGATTGTTAAGAAAAGTGAAATTATGTGGTTAAGCTTTATGTAGAGAAGAGACAAATAATATGAATCTTCTAATTCCTTCTTTAAAAGGCAAGAAGAACCTTATTTTGTGACAAACCAGAAAAAAAGTGGAATTTTTTCTTTTTCTTTTTTGTTAATTGAGGTCTAGTATTTCCTTTATACAATAAGACATTTTCAATGTGTTTTTTTCTTTCTTGGTAATTGAGAAAGTGCATCAACTTCAACAATTTCATCTACATTTGCATTTACCAATCAGCATCTGAAGTGGACTGCAATGGGTGGGTATCATTATAGCATCAAGCTGTATGATAGAGCTTCATTTTTTTTACAACTATTTTTCAATTGATATATCCTTTTTCAGATCGAAATCCTGAAGAGACTACAGAGGGAAGCATTTTCAGATTTAATGAAGCTGAGGGAGAGACAAGAGAAGGCGGAACGCGTGCTTTCCTTCTACAAAACTGCCAAAGTGGGGCCATTCCAAGAAGGCGGCACCCGGGTGAAGGGAGAGATCGACGTGCTGGGTGCGTTGGTGATGACGAACGCCGTTGATCAAGAAACATGTGATGCAATTCAGAGGACTGGAATTAAGAGTGGGGTTGAATCCAGGCTCTGGTTTGAAACAAACATTGGAGAGAGAGATAGGCTTGTGACAGAGTTTGTTGGTGGCCAGAGAGGCAGCCATGAAGATGTGTTGGGAACTCCACTTTCTCTGGCTAAAGTTCTTTACTCTGCAAATGTGAGCGAATTGCTTTCCGCTTTTGCGATTCCAATGGGTGCTCAGTGTCGGGATTTCGGGGTTGGAACTGCTCTTCCCCAAGTAAGTATTATTCCCTACTTCCAATATCTTTTTTGACTTAGCACGGTTTGTACTGAAAGAGGAATGTTAGAGTATAAAAAAAACCTTTTCCTGGGCCACATCCACAAGTTTGAGCTTTCGGTTGAATTGATTCTTTGACATGATATCAGAGCTTTCGGTTAAAAAAATAATGTTTCACATGCAAGGCTCGAAACGACCACGCCTGCACGTGAGGAGCGTGTTAGAATATAAAAACTTTTCATGGGCCTACAACCAAAAGCTTGAGCTCTTGGTTGAGTTGGTTCCTTGACAAGGAAAACATGTTTGACTTCTCATTTTTGCTCTTGGTGTAGCAAATTCAAACAAAAGATATTTAAAAAAAAGGGTGAATGCAGCAAAAGTAAGAGTAAAATTTTCTTTCGCTTTAAATTTTTTATATTAACATGGATTCTTACATATTTCATTTTATTTTTGAATTTTTCCAAAGTAAAACCATACATGCAAAAACAACTTTTCTCTGCAAAATTCTCCCTTCGCCTAGCATTTTCCAAGATTTGAGAGTGGATGGTTTCTTGGAAACCGTCTTTCTGCTTCATTGTAGGGGTAAGGTGTACGTACACACACAATCCCCCAAACCCTACTTTTGTGGGATTTTACTGGGTTTGTTGCCTAGCATTTTCCAAGATTCAAGCTTTTTCCCTGAGTGACATTGTGGGGAAGAAGTGGTCATTGTCTATCTAATTTTGCAGGAGAAGGCCCTTACGGATTATTCAGCAATAGGGCCACCCTTGTTGAACCATCTAAATGGTAGTGCCATCGGCATCGTGGCAAGGAAATCAAATCTGGTTGCCTCGTTGGCTCAATTCGCCTCAGTCATAGGATCACCACCACCACCACTACCACCACTGCCACCACTGCCAACCTCCCCTAACACTCTCTGTTCTTTCAGCACTTTCGCTCAAGTCGCTTACCAACTTTCCACAAGCACAAAGCTGAGCCTTTTGGGCATACGAAAAGGGGCGAAATTGTCAAACCAGCAAACTACTAGACTTGGTCCCATGACTTTCCCCATTGGCATTTTCGCGCGACACGAGCGCTCTTCTTTGGAGGAAGAAGAAGAAGAACAAGGTGGTGACGTGGACGGATCAATGGCTTTGATGATCGAGTCGCGGCTCGACGAGAGTACGAGAATAGGAGGCTGGCTTGAGATGAAAGGGAAATTGCAAGCCAGAAATGTGAAATGGGCTGTTACCATGGCAGATACCCCTGAGGATGGTTTGGGGTGGGGTTTGAGCTTGGGCGGGTCGGTCCGGGATCCGAGAAGCCCGGAGCATTTTCAGGTGGAAGCTTTCCTTAACTGTAACTTGGGGAAGAGGTGTAGAATTCAGCCTGCTGTTCTTTACATGAGGGATGGGGCTATCCAGTTCCCCACTCTTATGCTTCGTTCTAGCTTTAGCCTCTAGAGTTATATATATATATATATATATATATATATATATATATATATATATATATATATATATATATATATATATATATATATATATATATATATATATATATATATATATATATATATATATATATATATATATATATATATATATATATATATATATATATATATACACACACACACACACACATATATATATATATACACACACACATATATATATATATACACACACATATATATATATATATACACACACATATATATATGTATATACATATACATATCTCTATACATATATATATATATACATATACATATATATATATATATATACATATACATATATATATATATATATATATATATATATATATATATATATATATATATATATATATATGGCAATTGATATCTACACTCCAACTATGTTAATGGCACTCCACACTTCTCCATCTCTTTTTAAATTGACACCAATACCCTTTTTATTTATTTTGGCTCTCTAATACTAGTGCTTTTTGAAATCAACAAAAAAAAAACTACTCCGTAGTACTTTGTAGTGCTTCACAATCCTTTCATCTTTACTTTGAATTTTTTTTAATCTTTTTCTTATATTTTTTTAATTCTTTAAATTTTTAAAGATGAATATATATAATGCTTGTTCAAATCATTTGGATGACCAATCAGAGTTGGAGAACATACTCCCTCCATCTCAATTTGAATTACCCATTGCAGATTATGGTGGTTGATTGTCTTTACTTGCAATTCAACTTATTTGATTCTAATTGTAAAATTTAAAAATATTAATTATATTTTTGGTCCTTGTAAAATTGGTACATTTTTACTTTTGTTCCCTCCAATTTATTTTTAAATTAAATCGTCTCTATAAATTCATTATTTTCGCAATTAGTCCTCTGCTAATTTAAATGTATATTTTGATCCTTGAAAAAGTAATAAATTTTGTATTAAGTTCCTATAAAGTTTTTTGTACATTCTTCTTCTTTTTTAAATTATTTACTACGTGATACTTTCTACAATATTAACTTATTATTTTTTATCAAGATAAACTTAATTACAATGTCAAAGTTATTGAAATATTTTTCATAGCTTAATGGAATAACTATGCTACTGAATATTTGTTTAAAATCTTTCAAAGTAATTTTTTAAATAAAAACTCTTAACTAAATTAATAACGAGGTCATTTTTAATAAATTTATTTACTATCATTACATAAATACTTAAACAGTCACCCTAAAAAATTGAAAAAAAACACCCGAGATGGTGAGGGTAAGAATTTCACTAAAAGATCATGAATTTGACAAATTATACCAAAAATTACAATAAAAATTAATTTTGTGTTAATTTATCAAAAGTTTTTTCCCTAAAAACTAAAGTATTAATTTAGCAACTTTTTAAATTTAAAATGTAGTTATTCAATTAATAAGTATTTAAAAATATTTCATTGAATTTGATCTTTTAATTAAATAAATACTTAATAAAAAGAATAAGACAATCGTGAATGATTATTGAATAATTTAAAAATAGAATTGAATGAACAGAAAGAGTTTTAAAGGGACTAAAATTAAAATTTATAAATTTTACAAGGATCAAAAAAATATTTAACTTATGGGAGGACAATTTTTGCAAAAATAATTATTTTATAGGGACGAATTAATAAAAAATATATTTTGGAGGGACCAAAAACAAAATTCTCTAATTCTACAAGGACCAAAAACATAATTAACCCCAATTTAAAAATAAACTTTGTTTTTAATGAAGGGTAAGGTTCTAATGACATTAACCCCTAATGTCATCCTATGACATGAGCTCCGTTTGAGGTCCTTACGATGCTGCGTTCGAAAAATTGATTGTTCCTACCCCTCCTAACCTTCCCGGTAAACCCCCCAACTCGCCTCGACCCGAATCCACCACCGCTCCCCCGTCAATTGCACCCCAGGCCACAAGATGTAGTTGACTTTGTAGGAACAATTAATTTTTCGAACGGAGTACCGTAGGGACCTCGGGTCATCCCATGACATTGATTTCCAATGTCATGAGAACTGTGTTGTTTAATGAAAAGCTTAAAAACAAGATGTGACATGACAACTTTATATTTTAAAATAATAGTAAAAATAATTAAGCTAAGTAGGTAGTGTTTAACTTCTGAAATATGGAGTGTAAATAGAAATTCAGATTTGGATGGAGGTAGTATTAGGATGCTAGTTGCAATATATATTTGGTGTATTATTCTATTTGTCTTTCAAGAATAATCGACATATCTAAGTGTTAAGACTATGATATATGAAAATGACTTAGGTAAGAGTAACATATAATTAAACAAAATAAACGTTTTATGTTTTTATTCTAAAAATAGAAGTTAAAATACATATATTATGTCAATTATATCAATATATAATATCAAAAGTAATGTGAAATATTCATATACTGTAACTTCTATTTTAAAGATAAAAAACATGAAGTTTTTATTTTGATATTTTTTATATTTTACTCATATTTAGCATTATTTCTTTTGTGATATCATGTTAGAGATATGATCCAACCAAAGTTCAAACTTGTGATTGTAAGCCCTAAAAAAAATTGTTATAATCTAACAAAAAGAAGTTGATGCCTATAATTCAATTACAAATGCAACATTATGCTTTCTTAAATTATTGAGCTAGTGCCTATTGTGTATTGTCCAATATACTCCTAATATTGGAGCGAGAAAAAGCAAATGACAAGGGCATAAGTGTCAAATTGAAAATAGATGGAAAAATGTGGAGTGCCACTAACATATTTGGAGTGCAAATATCAATTGCCTTATATATATGTGTGTGTGTGTGTGTGTGTGTGTGTGTGTGTGTGTGTGTGTGTGTGTGTGTGTGTGTATATGTATATATATATATATAGTTGAAAAATGTTGAAAAGTAAATTTTATTGTTTGAATTTGTTTAGCAAGAAGAGAAGAGTTTTGTTCTTCCTTTTGTATCATACTAATGTGATTGGCTACTCACAGTGTTGATGGGTAATTTGCATTCAATTTCATTTTGATTCATTCATTTAATTACTCTACAAAAATCTGCATATTGTGGATGGGAGTAGATTTGCATGGGGAGGAAAGAGTAGTTTTTCACTCTGGACAAAAGTATTTGGATATTCCCACTTTGGGTCCACATAAAATTTTCAATTTTAGGTGCAACAATCATGTGATTGTCATTTTTGGTTTTTGCCTACAAGAAACTTGTTTGCCAAAATGTGTGGTGGTATATTTACATTTTATTGTGTTTTTAGTACTATATGTTGACATTATTAACACTATAATTTCTATTTTAGTAATAAAAATATGGAATTTTCATTTTAGTATTTTTTCTATATTTTACATCTATTTTAGTCTTTTTTCAATTAAAAAACTTTCCAATAGCTCTAACCAAGTTTGATTTCTCAAATTTTTAAAATATTTTTACTTTTGATATTATGAAGAAATAAAATATAAAACAAAAAAGGTAAATTTTCCTGTGATCCTAAAATCCGCACTAATTTTATGGACTTTAGTATATAAACAACATGGATGAATTTGGCTCTTTGAAAAAATAAAAGATTCACGTGTCGGTTCACTAAAAGAGTGTCATAAGGTTCATATTCCGAATGTGGACCTTATCATCAAATAATCCAACTCAAAGATAAAAACTTTGATACCAAAATCATAAACCGGACCGGACCGGCCGGTTCAGACCGGGAACCGGCGAACCGGTGACCAAACCGGTCCTATCCGGGCCAAAAGACCCCCCTCTGCTACGAACTGGCCTGAACCAGTAAAAACCGGCTGGACACGGCCGGTTGAACCAGAAGCCGGATTTTTTTTGTTTTGCGAAAATCCTCCAAAATGTTACCATGTAAAGATTCAATCACTAGACATCCTAATCTCTATATCCGCCTAACCACCACCTTAGCCAAAGTTCTCTTGTGTCATATCTTGAATAAAGTGGAGATATATAATATATATCTTGATAAAAAAGTTCTAAAATGATTTCTTTTCATAAAACATTAAAAAATATAATATTGTAACTATGATTTAAACTTTTAACTACTCCGTATTCTAAAATACATACTACCTCCGTCCCTAAGTATTTGTCCAGTTTTGACTTTTTTTGGTCAACAGTTTTCAACGTTTGACCTTTTAAATAAAATATACATTGTATTTTATTTAAATAAAATAATATTTTGAAAATATTTGATATAATAAATCTAATATATCACTTAATTATTTTTATTTTTAGATAGAAGAAGTATTTTTTGATATATATATATATATATATATATATATATATATATATATTAAATTTTCAAAAATGTTTGAACCACTGGTTCAACCAGTGAACCACTGAACCAGTACCTCGATCGGTTCGATCGCCGGTCCGGTTATGAAAACTATGACCAAAATGATTGGTTTCATAGAGTCTTTTAAAAAAATAATTGGTTCCATGAAGTCCATCATGATAAAATTTACTCCCTACTAAATTTGTGCACATGTTGCATTGTATGCCGAACATCCCAATATTCTTTGAAAATTTACAACAGCCCGCATGGGTAGTTCAACTAGTCTAAGAAGAGGGTCTCAAACCCATTGATCCTAAGATTGAATTCAAATAACGGCAGTATGAAAATTCTATTATTTGTAATAGCTCCTTATGCACATCGGGCACGGGACAGTCTCTCTAAGAATCAGATTGAGATTATACCATGATTTACCCTCCTCACAATCTTGTCGGGTCGGGGTGTGGGGGCGCTCGCGGTGCGCGTTCCACCTTTTTTTGAAAATTTACGCCATTTTGGCAGTTCCCTTCAATATTGCATGCTGAGTTAAGCTACTTATACACCAAAAAGTGTGCACCACAAGTCTCCAGTTTTACTTTTTGCGGTGTGATGGTAGGGTGATTCATAAGTATACAAAATGTTAGTACGAAATACTTTCATCACGCTAGTATTTTGTGTCAATGTGAACTATTAAAATGTTATTATATATTTTTATTGTATAATTTGAGGTATATTCTTTGGTGTACCCCTAAGATGATTGATTGATGTTCAAGCTAGATCGAAGGATAAGAGTTGGGAACTAGATGGCCCTATCCCTCATGTAAAGAACAGCATGTTGAATTCTACACCTATTTTTGCTTTGATATATTGTGTGTGCCAATCTTTCCCCACTCTTTTGAGTGGCTCACAATCTTTGGTTCACAATCTTTACCTATCCATTCACAAGAATGATATATCCTTTGGTGTAAAAAAGAAAATTGCTTGGAGAACTTAGAGTACTCCAAATGTACACCAAAACAAATATAGGTACACACAGACTATCATTTTTGTGATCAAATGTATTGTTTAAAGTAATACATAGGAGAAGTAAAGATTGTGAGCCACTCAAAACTTTCTATATAAAAGGATAGATAGGTCTTTTTTTGAATTTTCTAAAAGAATGAGTGTTTTTTTGGGACGAAGAGAGTGGTAGTCTAGTGGCGATTTTGTTCCCTTTTATATACGGAGTATATTTTGTTTATAGTACTTCTCACCTTTCCTCATGTCATTACAAAAGTATCAAATGTTGCATCTTATATACTCCCTATAAATTTACGGGAAAAAGACTAACGTAAGATTAAAATATTGAAAATATGTCAAAATTAGGGTTTCATTTTTTTCTAAAATAGGAGTTAAAATGCGCGCATTTACATTACCATGACCATATACATTATCAAAAAGTATTGTAAACTGCTCATATACAGTGACACATTACCACAGTGCGGATTCTTATTTAGGAAATAAAAATATACTGGGTAGAACTTTTATTTTTAGTACTTTCTCTATATTTTACTTCTATTTGAGGTAATTTTTTTAGTTTACTTTTAAAATTAATTTTTTTTACAATAAAATTAATATTTTTTAAAACTGCAAATACAATAAAAAAACCGAATCTTGAACCGCAATAAATCAAACCCAATAATCCATGATTTATATTTTTATTACTCCATTTTGTCTTTAGTTCTTTGGATAACATCCATACCCATAAAATCAAACCCAACCCTACTAGTACCTCCATGGATAAGGTTCATGGTCAATATAAGTTCATTAAAAGAAAAAGACAAGAGTAGAAAAAAGAAGACAAAAATTAGAATGTCTTTTTTTAAAATCACTCTCTCTTGTAGCCTCCTAGGCCACCTTGGCTTTCCTCACATTTTACCCTCTCAATAAAGTTGATCTTGGCAAAGATGAAAATTTTAATATTCTCTGGTCCTAACACTATCTTTTAATTCACTATTCACAAAATTAAATTTTATCTCTTGTAAACTTTACCTAATAAAATTATATATAATCATTTCACATCTAATTTTTAAATGATTTTATGTTATCTTTAATATATAAATCATATTTTTAGATTTCACACCAGGTTTCCAATAAATTGTTAAGAAAATAAATTAAGATATCACCATAAATAGAAATAAAACATAGAGAAAGTAGCAAAGTAGGAGTTTCATGTTTTTATTCTCTAAATGGGAGTTCACACTGTGGTAATGTGGCACATACTTTGGCATTTTACTACACTTTTTGATAATATACATGGTCATGATTGGTAATATAATTACATTTTAAATGTTATTTCGTGAATAAAAACACGGAACTCCCATTTTGATATATTTTTAATGTTTTACTTATATTTTAATCTTTTTCTCAAATAACTTCAATCAAACATCGTAAATACCAATGAGAAATTAGTTTTAGGGTGAAGGGGTACTACAAATAAGATTAGAAACAAAAGTTGATAGTTTTGAAATTTATTACCTCCGTCTTCGGTGGGGCTCATAGAGAATCATGTGGGCTTCGGCTTGGTTGCTCGGGACCATGATGGATGCTTCGTTGCAGCAAAAAGTATCAAGTGTAGAGGAAGTTGTGGTCCTCGAGAAGCAGAGGCCATCACAGTGAAGGAGGCTCGCAGTTGGATTAAAGCTAAAGGTTGGACTCTTGTTATCATTGGGTCACACTCTAAGGAGTTCATCGATCGGCTAAGCTTACCTGTTATATTATGACTCTATTATCGATGATTGTAAAAGTTTGTGTACAATAGGCAGGGCCGTCTCCGAGAAATCAGGGACCCTGGACATCACGGAGAAAATGGGCTATTGTGTCATAATAAAATAAAGTCTATCAATTAATTTTTTTTAACAATAAAAAATATTATAGTAATAAGAATAATAAAATGTCAAATTCATAGTCTTATAAATTTATAATTCATAGTCTTATAAATTTATAATTCATAGTCTTATAAATTTATAATTCATAGTCTTAACCTGTTTTTTTATAAATATATATAATATATATAGAATATATACAAAAGAAAAAAAAAGTGGGGCCCCCTCCAAAATTGGGCCCTGTCCTGGTGGCCACCTTGCCCCTGGCTTGAGCCGGCCCTGACAATAGGTGGAGTGGCATAGGGGTGTAAACGAACCGAATCGAAGCGAATACCGATATATTTGAATTTGTATTTGTTTAATTTTTTCGAATACGAATCCGAATCCGAATATGAGACGAATTCAAAATAAGATTTGAATAAGTATTTGATTAATATTTGAATAGTTATCGAATCATAAACGAATATTTGAATAATCATACTATGTAATTTATATGATGGACCAACATCAATTTGTAATTTAACTTACGATACTCTTTATATTATACTATATTCCGTATATAAAAACATTAATACATCTACATCTTACACAAATTATATTTTATAAAATATAACTATTAAAAATCATATGCTTTAGATTTTCGTGTTACGTTAATTTATTGAATTCTTAGTATTTTAAATACACTTTATACTATATTACTTTGCTTGACTTTTGATGTTGAAAACATGGTCTGTGTATATATACATATATTCGAATATCATCTGAATCGAATATATCTCTATTTATATTTGATTAATATTCGAATCAAAAATAATATTTGAATGTGAATTTGTATTTGAATAACGTGAATTCGAATCATCATATTCGAATACAAATTGCGAATCGAATTTAAAATATTTGATTTGTTTAGCTCCCTAGGTGGCACATACTTTAGCACATGCTACTCATTCAATGTCACGTCGGTATAAGGGAGTACACTCTAGGTTTCATTGTAAACTTTCTTTAATTTAATGCAGTGAAGTCTCTTTTCACAAAAAAAAACATGTGTAGGAAAGGCCTTCCTTCAATTCCCTGTTTTGGACTTTACTGCCGGAGTTTGGGGCCCAAGAGGCGAGGTAATTATTTTGTGCAAAAAATAGTACGTGCTCCATATAATATGCATCATTCTATCTCAAA